GAACTTTTCCACTCCAATAAAGGAGCAGCCTGTTTCAGAATCAAGTAAGCATGAAAACTTAGTATTTTCTATGAATGCATTAATCGCTGGACAGTCAGGCATGCATCCTATATTTGCAGTAAGCATAGCAGAATATAGTGGGAAACAAGAGAAACTGACAATTGTTTGAAACTTGGTCAATGGAAGGGAACTCCGTCAGCCGGCGTATGAAATTGACGCTGGTGTACAAAGCCCTGCGAAGTCGCGCAAAGTCAATTCCAGACGTCCGTCACTAACACTTAATTGGCAAAACTGTCTATAAATGCCCCCATTTTTGTTGCTGTTGCCGACCTCAGATCATCTCTGACTGCACTGACACTAAAATAGCGTATGCCACTATAATTTATTTCCCCTCCCCCTACTTCTTAGTTGCTGTTTCCCTACATCTTACGACATGAAGACCTCTGACAATTACTTGGCGTATACCCACTATAACTACCCCCTTCTTCTTGCTGTTTATTATCTTCGAAGATGGGCACCTGCAAGCGTTCGAAAACTCAGCACAATAAACAAATTTTTCTGATGCTCGAAATTTCTTCTTCCTTATAACTGGAAATCATTCCGCAACTTATCAGTCACTCATATTTTCTCATTGTCTCCCAAAATGTTTAGTCCGGTAGGTATTTATGCATCCCCTGCATAAAAATGATCTGGATTTGGTGCAAAACCAATATTTTTTAGATTTGTCAAAACATTTGAACACTTACGTAAAGCAACCAGTCGCGGATAAACAGTAGCGGGGGTGGACGGACGGCCACCTTCTGTTTACCTCAACGTGCCCATGCACTCTCTAAAATGTTACAAAAGGTAGCCTGCATCGGGCTTTCCCTCAGGGTATCAGAAAACCGACATGTCAGCAAACGGTTTACGAATGCGGCGGTTGCATCCTCTTCTTCTCTGCTTCCTCGCCCTGCTGCTGCTGCTGATGACTGCAGCCCTGACGCAAGCAGCCTCACTGGAAAAGATCACGTCAGAGGATGACACATTGCAAGCCGGAGACGAGATGCAGATGTACGTGGACGCAGATGATGGCGTCGAGGGCGGCGAGGCGGTCGAGGAGCTTGCTCGGGCGTCTAATCCGCTCGCACCAGCCGGTTGGTGGTCGCGCTTACGCAGACGTATCGGTCGATTCCTGCGAGGACG